GTTCTAAATGTATACAATGCTTTTCTGTTTAACATAATAACAGAATGAATTGAAAGGCAGCAGTCTCTTTCAAATGATTGTCCTTCTTTGACTTAATGTAGGAGAGAGATAAATGTATCCTTGCATTCAGAAGGACCATATTCATCTCTAGAGGATACACAATTACATTTGAAAAGAAAATGTAACATAGACAAAAGTCTATATGCATGGTGTGCTGTACACTTCAATGATTAAAAAAAACAATAAACATAAATAAATAAAATGACAGCTTTTGACAAAATCACAAGCCCATTTTTCCAAAAATAACATTATTTTTGGCTGATTTTATGATTTAACTGCCTGAAAAATGAAGGCGGTTTAACACATTAATGCATAACACACTGAGACAATAATTAAATTAATGAATAATACAAATCAATCTAGATTGTTTTGGTATGATATCTCCTACACTCATACCACACCATTCAAGATTGATACAAAGCACTACAGGGAGGAGATACAATTGTAAAATCCAAATAGTTAGTTGACTTGTAAGAAACTTAAAAACCTGCCAAAACAGGAATGAATTGTTTGCTTTGTGGTGAATACACATATTAGATAGCATTACCTGTTCTAAATGGATGGAAGTCAAGGGGATTCAATTTGGATTTTACATTCGGGCCAAGAAATCAGTTTATGGGTGCATTAACACAGGTTCAGAATGTACCGTATAACGACACAATTAAGGTACACATACAACCCCAAATAATCCTCACATAACAGCTATGAAGGCACAACAACACAACAAATTGAAATTTATAAACTGAATAACACTTGTTGTGACAATCAATAACCATCAGCATGCAAGCAATGTTGCTTCTCTATTTCACGTGACTGGAGCAGAAACATGCACAGCTCACACAGCACTGTGCTAAACCTGAGATCTCAGCAGGCTTTAAGATGTAAGGTCAAATATAGAGTCTGGGTTGGGTTTCCAGTTGGAACAGAGATAGCTCTGAAACACAAGCGCCACATGAACTGGCAACAGAAAGGCCACGCTCATGGGAGCCAAGTCAGATAGAGAGACCATGAAATAAACAGAGCAAGAGTGTGGGAGGAGACCTTCAAGCCAAGTGTTTTCAGCATTACAATTCAATGCACTCTGTTGAATTAATGTTTTAAGTGAAAATATTAATTCCAAGCAATTTATTGCCACATTACTCGTTCACATGATTGTGAATCCATTTATCCTCACAGTAGGCCTCAAGTAGTTCTTAATCAAATTATACAGGCAGTCAGAATGAGCTTCCAGTAATTAACTCTTCCACCTGAATATGCATTACAAATTAAGCAGCCCACTTATAGTGGAGTCAAGAGATGTGCAGAGACCTTAAGGCGAATTGCATCTCAAACAGAGTCCCTACTTTAAGGGACAAGTATATCCTGCAAATAAGACGTGTGTGGGTAAACAAGCCCACACCCTAATGGTGGGGATTTGTTTTTTTGACGGTTAGCGGGCAGAGAGTGATGAGAAATCCAATGACATGCTTAAGATCACAACACACACAAGTCAAAGCAAGAGGGATATTCTCTGTTTAAGCAGATCCTAAATTAGTCAAAGCATTGTGACCTTTACTGAACTATGTAGTATCCCAATGGACACCACACAGTAACTCACGGCTGCAACATGTTACACTTGTGAGACTCCTGTTTGTGCCTTGTTGGTTAATGCTCCAAATGTTTTAATTTATGTGAGCAGCAGTCTTACCTTCAGAAAAATAGCCTTCAAGTCATGGGGGTCTGCCCTTTTTGTTGATTGCACCTGTAACACACAAGTTCGAATTTGCTATAAAGACATTTCAGTCAGATTATCACAATGAAGCCTAATATAAAATAGGCTACACAATGTAGGGATACTAAGCCATATGTTAAATCAATAAAACTGAAGTTCATGGTGTAACTGGTCAGCTTTGATTTTTACGGTCAATCACAGACGGCTGTAGCAACAATTATTAACACCATACATGTAAACAACGTATTCAAACCAAATCTCCTCTATATGCAAATGCAACCAAAACTACAGTTGTCTCTGCAGGCTGGCAGAGATGCCCCTGTAAAGATGCAGAAACACAAGAGTAGTGGATTCTGCTGCATTTAAGACAAGAGCTTTAAACCCACGCGTCTGACCAGACATGCTGTCCTCCGTATCCGACGGCTGCTTTACTGCCTTTAAAATGAATATCTGAAAAGAAATAATGACGGAGTCACCTTGACCGCCATGCTGGGAGTGACGTCAGCTGCAGTGAACTAGCTCAGGCGCTGGGCTCAAGGATGACAGCGAGCATGACACGGGACCGCCGTGTTCTAAGACACCAAATATATATTTAGCAGAGTATTGTCCTTTTCTGTCTGCAGGGCGGTGTGTCGGACGAGGAGCCAACGCGAGACGCGATGCTCCGGACAGAGAGGCAGCAGCTGAGATCTTGCTGTCTGCCGGGTCACATGAGGACACGGTGCACTGTAACCAGGACAATAACCAGGACAGCAAAATACAGTGATGACATGTTAAAATAACAGAAAACTAAAAATTCAGAAAAATAGAATTGCGTAATGTGGCTGCACCTATTATTTGTATTATTCATATTTGATGCATATATGCTACTGTCAGATCCACCTTATGATAAAGCCACCTGTTACATCCCAGCAGACTTTGCACTCAGCATTGTAGTCTTACTGTTGGGAATTGTGTCGCTTATCCTGCAAAACATCTCTTTTTAAAATAATATGTATTCAGGTATAACAATTGTTGACGCATTAATGTGTGTATCTCTTTAATGTTGCAGCTTGTAAAGGAGGAGTGTTTCTGTGCCAGGAAGCTTTTACATTTAACCAAGGGATGAAGAAAGATTATCTTAACTTAAACTATAATATTAAATAATAAATGTAATTGTTGATCTTAGTTTGTATTACTACAAATCTAAATCTTCAAAGTAACTTAATTTTGATAAATATAGTACAATACTTGCCTCTGAACAGTCTCACAATTTAAAATACTGAATGTGCACATCAAAATGTGTTGAGTAATTGTAGTTTGTGTAACTTACACTGCTTACAAATTTAGAAATCAACATCAACCCAATTTGCACACTATCACCACATCATGTGCTCACAAAATGTTTTCTCTATGTTGGATCACTTATCTCATCATTACAAAAATATAACTCTATAGCTCTTTACCAAGCAAGTGTTGCTTACCTTAATTTACACTGTAAAAACTAAAAAGAAACTTTAATTAAATATATTTTGTCAACAATTTACATATAACTGTTTTAGGTAAGTTGAAATCAATACTATTAAGTTGAACCTAATATGTTTTATTTAAACTTGATCTTATTTCTTTCAACTAACCTAATACAGTGATGTGAAATCCGTTGACATAATATATTTAATTAAAGTCAATTATTTCGTTTAATTGTGTAACAGCAATGTCACTGATTGCGGCAGTTCAGACAAATACTCTTGACTCTGATAGGAAATGTCTATACAAGAATTGACTTATTTTTGTATTTTTTCTTTTGAATTATTTCTTTCCTGCATTTGGCCAAACGACTGTAGTTTGAAGTTCAGAGATCAAGCAGCATGCATTGCCTCCATGCAGACACAATTTGTTGCCTTTGGTCTGTAAAAGGTATGGTATGGTTCAGGAAAGGGATAATCTAGTGCTGACAGTGTCGAGGTAAAATTACAGTGGCTTAAACATGACTGGGCAGGTCATTCATTGGTGCGCCTGGAGGACAGAATAGCTGAGGCCGGGATGATAGCACAGCATTACCCGGGCTCAGGGGGATGTTCACAATTGCACTTTCCCCCATGAGTCAATTTCAGTTTTGTTTTTTTCGTGTATTAAAATAGTTATGTTATACATGAAGAATCCAATATGTGTTAGAAAAACTAATATTTCCTATTTTTCAGAACGGTTCTTTCTTTTTCAGAACCGTGTTGACAATTAAATTGAATAATCCTGAGATATTGTAAAGCCTGATAAATCTATTTTTTATTTTTTTCAAGAGTTGGTGTATGAATAATGTGGAAACGACTATTGATTGATAGATAGATGCAAACAGTATCGATAATTGATTTATCTCAAAACCATATACTAAAAATGTGCTTCTTTTACAGTACGTTGGTGGCATGTCTGTGCTTACGTTACGTTTCTTGTTAGTGACTGTCCAACAGACAATACTGGAATCAAATATCTGCTTTTCAGCTCTGACTAGTCTGTCTAAGGCTTAATCTATAGACATTACTACGGGCTCTAGGAAATTAAATGTTTTCTATTTTGTGCCTAGGTGTCAGGTTGATGCACATGTAGGTATATGTTTCTAAATATGTATGTTTACAAGTAAGTGTGTGTTTATGAACAGGGGTAGGCCTATGTAGAGTGAATGAATATTTGTTAAATCATCCTGTTTTATTCGACCCATGGCGAAATATGAACTGTATGAGTCGTTGCTTTGTATCTTTAATTTAACTCTAAATATATTACTGCTTATATATATATAAAAAAAAAAAATTGTATTTCAGTGTTATCTTTGTTTCTTCTCTTCCTTGTTGAGATGTACCTATGCTATATGTAAAAATATGAGTTTATATTCCGAACAAAGGGCATCTGTTTAATGAAATAAACCAAAAGAAAAAGAAAACAACAAACAACTGCTATCTTGCTAAGCCAAGAAAAAAATCCTCGAAGTGAGTTATACAAATAGAAAACATTAAAAACAGTGACACACTTAACTTGTAATAAAGAGAAGCTTTCCACTCAGTATGTTTGTGATACTTCCTCACTATTTTGAAAACGTTTCAGCTTCTGGCTTCTATGGGCTTCCGTATGATGACAACATTAGTTTGTAAAAAGGTCTTTCTTTAATTGAACTCACCTTCCCGTGTTATTAGTATTTCTTTGTTCACGAGTACATTTTTATTCACATTACAAAGTTAATTTGACGTAAAGTTAGGAGCCAAAACAAAGCTACATCCTGTTTCCACGGAAACACGAGGACCCGGAAGTCGTCCTGATTCCGCGGGTCTTTTGGGACAACACAGCTCCTCTCATCACAGTGTGCAGAAATGGCGGGTAAGAGGCTAAATGTGTTCATGCTTTAATACTAATGTCTTCATTTTAACGGATATACAACGAATACTGGTCGCTGGTCCCGCTTTAAGCCCCGCTAGCGTTGTACAACGGGTAATGTTCTGTTCAAAACACAGCTAGCTAAGCTAACATTACAAAGCAGCAGTGGGGGCCTGCCTGCTAACGTTAGCATGCTACCAGGTTGTCATAGCTTACTGTGTGTTTGTGTGTTTGTGTGTTTATGTAACGCCTGGGTGTCAGGTTGAATGTGTTCCTCGAGGCAATGGATCGATGCTGGCATACTTACCGTTATGTTAGGTGTTATGCCCTTTTCTACGCAACATAACGTAACTTACTCGTTCCTGACTGATGTAAGAGCATGGTAGTTTATCTTTGCACAACAGTTAGCGTTGCCAGATCAAAGGGTAAACATGTTTTACCTTATCATGCCATTTATGATTCAGTTCTTTCTCTGTCGCTCCGCGTATTGCAAAGATGGAGCTAATGCAATACAAAGCTGGAGTTAAGGATTGTTGGTCAGCATGTGCTACTTGTATTTTCATCCGCATGTTTCTGATGACAGAAGAAGTTGTGGAGCTAAAAAGGAGGGAAAGACATACATTTATTTAGACCCCACGAATTTGTCAACTGTGTCTTCATTACTGTGCTTTAATTTAGAAACGAAATGCAATTTCATCCTCCTCACTAAGCTGTTGACATGTATGTTCATATGAAAGGAACAACTTTAATGTGCTGTTCTTTTTAGGAATCAGCACCACTGTTAATGTGTAGCAAGAAACATTAATTAAACTCTCAGAAAAACATACCATTTCAACATGGTTTGCGTATGTTTCCTCAGCAATAAACACCATGGAGAAGAAACTGGCTGAATACAAGTGTGACACCAACGAAGCTATATGCATGAAGCTGGGTATGTTTATTTTTGCGTTCTTTGTAAATGTATATGATAATAGGTATGTGTTTGCATTGACATGGTTTTGTAAGATTGGGATGTTGTTTGTCACTTAACTTGGTCAAACTCTGTCTTCTTCGCTCAGTTCGCTTTCCAGAGGATGTTGAGGACGACAGCACTACATTCCACCCTGAGTTCAGCCACCAGGTTTATGGGGATGAGTGAGTATTTCATCATCATCTTGACTTTTACATTGTTCTTTTGCTGATACAGAAATTAGTTTTCCCTTTTGTAAAAATAGAAAAAGCCTCACTTTCAGCAAAGATTAAACTCAAACATGTGAGCTGCCAGGAACACTCAGTTTATCTAACGGCCAAAGAGCAATTGTGTATAATGTTTTCCATCCAAATGCACCTTGATGGTAGTTTTTGAATGGATTTAAATTAGTCATGTGGCCTTGTTAACACGTAACCTTAAGAGTGCAATGTTATTTTTCAATGCTCTTTTTAAGGTTCTATAGATTGACTCATAGTTTAATACTATCATAATTTGAGCCTAAAGTGTGAAATGGAAATATCTAAATAATCGTTTGTAATTGAAGCAAAAACAATAACTGATAACTGAGGCAAGGACAGTTCAAAATGTGTGTTTAAATACAAATAACCTTTCATCCTCATATAGACACACTATCTAAACCCAACATGAATCACATGGAGCCATGGATTTGATTCAGTCATTTATGGCTATAATCAACTTTCTCTGACCTTTATCACCTGTCTTTACTGTAATCTGATTAGGTTTTATTTTTTTTCAACTCTTATCATCCATCATGTTTGAAGTCATCAAGTATTTTCTTTAAATATTGAATACCTGCAAATACGAAGTGTGTTTCAGAGTTATTTTGGTAGAGGGATGTTTTGTGTAAGGAAGGCACATTTTAAAACATGTGAACATGAACAGAGGTCAGTCTCGTGTTATTGTAGTCACACAAAAAGCTGTGGAGTCACATAATAACCCCAATGTGACGCACAAAGAGGCGTTGCTACTTACCTTGTGTTGGCATTGACACCTGTTTCTCTGTTTCGGGTTACAGTGGTGTGTCATTATGCTCTGAATTGTATTTCTAAATTAGTCAAAACTAGGATTGGTTATTTCTTGCTCTCGCTGCAATCAGCTCGAAGGGAACTCTGTAATTGGGGCATTAATTATTTCAGCAAGCATAATTGCTAGTAAAGCTCAATCACACAGTTGCATAATGATGAAATCTATTTAGCCATAAACTGCCAGTGATGTAGTGGTGAAAGAAACCATGCAACACGCCGTAATAATCGACAGGGCCAACAGTAAGCATTTATCATTCACTCCAGGTGTATATTTAATTCAATAGGAATAATGGTGCGGTGTATTTTATTCCCTTGATATGAAATAAACCTCGACTGCTCACCACATAAAACAGCTGTCTTATTGTTTTCTCTTTGTAAGGGTTGTCTTAGTAAAATATATAACCTTGTTTTGGATTTGTAATGATTCCAATCCATTTGTCTGCAGCGAGGTCGCTTTTGGATACAAAGGTCTTCAGATACAGCTGTTCTACACGGCTGGAAACCTGAGCACCCTCTTCAAAGTGAAATATTCCTCAAAAGTCACCGAGACGTTCGATTGTGTGGAGGTAGGACATGCATGTTATCACGTGTTATGAAAGCACATTGCCTCTTGCTGAAATGAAAGGATTCATCCAAAGCTGCTCCATTAGGCCTTATATAATACCCTGTGTATTTAGAGAGTGAAAAAAAACAATGTTGATTATTTAGGAAAAGAGATATTTGACATATTTCGAGTGTCGTTGTAAAGGTGTCGGTTTTGAAACCAAGTATCACATATCATTTGTGTTTGTAAAAGTTCACAGCTGGTGATTGAAAAAGTGAAATGTCAAAATGTAAGCTGTAGATTGTTAATTATCTGAAATGTAGTAAATCAAATTGTTTGTCAGACAAATACTATGCAGCTTTACTGAGTGGTTATCCAAGGTTCAAGATTCTTTATTTGTCAAACGAACATAGCTACAGTGTAGTTATGTCGATGAAAATCTTGTGTCACAGGTTTCTTCAACAGTGCAACACAAAACACAGATAAACAGACAAAATATAGTGCAAGTAAATACAAGAAGAAAAATAGTTTTAAAAAGTGAAATAGTGCAGTAAGAGTCTATATGCAAGTCATTGAAATATGATATATTAGGTAAATAGATACATCATTTTTAAGTAGCAGCCAGATGAATATTGTGGATGTTGTTTGAACAGTTCAGGTATTTAACACTCTCCATAATGTTATCTCCATAATGTTATGACATCAGGATTGTACGATAGATGTTTGTTGACACGGAGTAGATGGACCTGAGTTGCTCTTTTCGGAGCAGTCTTTGCTACCATAATGTTGTTTCTTCACGTACTGAAGTAACTCAGAGCCTCTCTGGGTGGTGACATTATTCCTGTAAGAGATCTCCTGTTTTGTTAGACTAAATCTCAGCCCACCATGGCCCCCTGCGCCAGATCACTAATCCTACTCCTCCCTGTCGGAAGACACAGGTTTTAAAAAGGTTTTGTGTGTGGGGTCTTACGTGAGGCATTGATTTTTTGAGGTTTGTGTGATTGAATCAGCAGGAGAAGTAATGTGACCCAGTTGGATATCCAGCACATATATTTCCAGGAGCAAATTGTTGCTCAAGTCATCAACAGTCAAAATCGCTGAGGTTGGATTTCTGTAAACTAATCTCCAGTAGGTTTATATTCAGTTGTTTTATGTGATACAACCCTTTTTATTTCTCTGCTAATGAATTGGCAATTAGTTTGAACATTCTTCTGATAGTTTCACTGCGTAGTATGTTAAACGTGTTCTTCCAATTGCCTGGTACACACATTTCCATATGAACAGACAGTATTTGGACAGAAGCTGGCAGTAACGCAACATTCTTTAATGTTCTGGTAGCTCCTTCTCTGAGACTTCACAAAAGGCCACTGGCCGCTTTGAATATTTCCTGTCAATGCAGCAAACAGACAAACGAGTACAAGAACCAGCCAGGGCCCCTATTGAGGTCAGATGATTCAACTGTGGGACATCTGTCCTGTCCGGAAACAGCGGGGGCTCCCTCTGGACAATGTGGCCTTCAACTAGTGCTAGTGAGGGACACTTATGGGATTTGGTGGATCAACTTGAAGCATCAATGTTCCAATGAAACATAGAGTTATAAGAAAATATTGATTGGTATTCATACTGTATTCATTTATTATGATTTTTAATGGATAACTTGGTTGTTGGACGTTTCAGGGTATGTAATAAATGTAACTGTCCTGATTGAATAAAATAGTAAATATACTGTTTCTCAGATTTCATACATATGACCAGGGTATATAAAAATAGTTATTAGTTACCATCCAAACGGCCAGTGATAGTTCCAAGTTGACCAGCCTCTCGGAAGCTACTGTACTTGCATGTTTGACCAATATTTGATTCTTAAATGGGGCTTGATTCCAGTAGTTTCCTGCATATGGCTGGGTGAACTTCACAACATTCAAATGTCCTCAAATTAGAGTTAAGGAATTGCTTAGCTTACAGTATTGCAATATATTGAATTGTGGCCCCTGTATCATGATGCATATTGTATTGCCAGATGCTTACCAATACACAGCCGTTAATGCAGCTGCGATGTTTCCTTCCGAATGGCGTTCGACATTACTTTCATCTCTGGTAACTCAAACAAAGAGTGCCATGGCAACCAATTGACTGTTTTTAAACCTTAAGAGAGCCATTAGACTTTTTGGGGAACATAGTTTGAAGCTGATATTCAAACTGAAATGTGATGGCTGGCTCACTGTCTGTGTGTGCCACTACTTTAGTGTTGAGCGTTGACCCCTGAGTGTTCACCTTGTTAAGGGTTTGAGTGCAGCTGGTGTAGAGGTAGAGAGTGAGAGAGCAGCAGAGTTCAGGCTGCATCTGAAGAGTGTTTGTCTCTGAGTGCATGTGGACGGTCGGGGTGCGGTGCAGCTGGTGAGAGAAGAGCGACGAGGGGAGGCAGAGATGGAGTTTATGCAGCTGCCACGCTGATACAAGACTCTTACCACCACATCACCTTCTCCCCTTTAAATCGGCCAAAAAACACCATAATGTTGGACCTCTCACCAAACACACTGATTTTTACTGCCAGACCTTTTGTGCACATGGGCTGGAAACTGTCCAATGCTCATGGTAGTTACATCATTACTTTTATTCTTACTCTATTTGTACTCTTCTTACTCAATATGGATGGGTAAATATGCTTTAACTTTTAAAATGTTGGTCAATACTTTACAAATGAATCCAAACGAGTGCCAGTTCTTAATAAAGTAAGGTCTTTGGAGTGAGTAAAGAGATGAAATAACACAACAAATTAGATAGTTTGTACTCCCTTTGTGCTTATTGTTAGAAATCAAAGACATTAACAAAATGTTCTAAAGGTACTTTGTTAAGTTATATTCATGCTAAACGAAGGCATCTATTCTGGAAGGCTGTGCAATTTAGTGTCTAGTATGTAGGAGAGTGCTCGGGACAAATGGACTTGTTTGTCCATGGCCTTTTAAGTATGGTCCTTGTTCCTTAGAAATGTGGCTGAACAATTATAATGGTTAAGAGGCATTCAGCTGCAGGTGCATTACTTCCAGTTAGATATTAGCTGATGTCTGAAAAGGGGGAGGAATTAGCAGTGTGTTGTATTAGCCTTTTGTAGTGCATTTTGCTCAGACCTTCTTCATTTCCCAGTTTTCAATGCTGAGCAGCAAGGGTCTCTGTGCGGCAATAATGCCCATCACACATGTAAATGGTGTGAAAGGGCTGCTTAGCAAAGTGTTCTCATGTCAATCCTTGTGGAAATGGATACAATACAAACATTACAGCTGAACTAACCACAGGTTGCACTGAGTAAAAAGTCCAAGGGTAGGGCCCCTTTGTCTCCGAGGCTCTTTGAAAAAAACGCAAGGGCAAATTCATTTGATTGGGTTCACTTGGCAGGATTAGAGGAGAGGCCTCTTTTATGGATGCCCCAAAGGTTTGTTAAGTTGAGATCAATTCACAAGGTTTAATTTCCCAGTGAGAAGCAGAAATGCGTTTATTGTGGCAACTTCATCACATATTCATGGTTTCACATAAGTAGTAAATGTACTGATTTAAGTGGTCTTTTCACCGGGCAGGGTGGGGGGTGCTGCTCTGGCCTCTGCTCAGCTGACAGTTTTAATTGCCTAATGGTTTTCTTTTCATTGGCACACCACTTGTAAGCTTCCAGTTTAACTTAATAGGATTTATTGCATGTTTTCTTCTCTTGCTTGATCAATGAAAAAACATTTCTAGTCTCATAAAGCCTCTACAAAACAAAAAGTATATTTTAAATGTATTTAGAAAACACCCAACTAGTCAGATTTATGGAAATGCATCAAGATTTTCCTTTTTTCCCCCCCCATTACTGATGTGTTTGTTGCATGATTTAATTCATGCACATTGTGTTATGCAGCCAGATGACATCGAAGGAAAGATCCGGGAGATCATTCCCGCTGGGTTCACCTGCAACAGCGACGACTTCATCTCACTGCTGGAGAAGGAGGCCAATTTCCAGCCGTTCGGCACGCTGCTTCACACGTACACCGTCCACAGCGAGGACGCAGGGGAACTCACGTACCAGATTCACAAGGTACAAGCATCACCTACTGCCTCAACACAGATTCTGATATCACTTTGAACTTTCTATACTCACCGTTACTCTTATGGTGTAATGGCTAGGCTGAGATTTTAATCTAACCCCTATTGTCTTTGCTGCTTTCTCCCCAGGTTGATGTTAACTGCGCGGGATTCCACGACTACCACAAGCGCCTGCAGACCTTCCTCATGTGGTTCATAGAGACTGCCAGCTTCATCGACGCAGACGACGATCGTTGGGACTTCTTTCTTGTGTGAGTGCCCTCTTTAATTGACATCATACTCCCCCCCCCCACACACCCTCCTCTACACGCACCCCTACCCTAAAGCCTTTTTTGTGTCATTGAAAAACAAAGCCCTCCTTTGTGGCGCTTGTGACCAATTACCAGGCCAGTTTGATTATATTTCCCCCATAGTAGAATTGTTGATCAGGCAAGAGCTTCTTTTGTGCCCAAAGCCCTTTTCACATTTTTCAGGGGCAAGAGCTGAATTGAATTCTGTTGTCTTTTGATACACTGAACAATGTCTTAACAGTAAAAAGAGCCTCTGCCAGTGTTTTCTTTACCCTGGCAACTATTAATACTGACAATGGGGAAAATGGACTGAAGTGATTTTGAGGAGCTCAGTCCCTCCTCCAACCCCTTCTCTTCCTCTAAGTTGCAGTACTCCAATTAAGTGCATAATGTATTCAGGTTGCAGCAGGTGTACCAATCGGGGCCTGGCTGCTCTAACATGCTGACGTTGGGGGGGGGGTTGAGGGGTGGGCATGAGAACAGAGAGGGCTAAAATGGACACTGCATGGGAGTGTGCCTGTAATTGACCTGTTTGCCTTTGTGTTTTATCTGCAGATTTGAAAAGTACAATAAAGATGGGGAGACTCTCTACGCGACTGTTGGCTACATGACAGTTTATAATTACTACGTGTACCCAGACAAAACCCGACCACGTGTAAGGTAATTGCCGGGGCAGCACGTGCCTTCCCATTCTTTTGTATGGAAAAGGAGTGGAAAATTATACATTTCTTTATCCTCTTCCCAAAGAGCCCAAATTACTGGCTTATATAGCCAACCATTCAACCAGATTTTGTTTCATTACCAAACCAGGGTGATTAGTATCTGAAAACAACTTTATGGATAAGCTTTTGATGTGATTTGATTTGTTGCATTGATGGATTAGGATAACAATTATTTACTGTGTTAAATCAGGATTTCTGCTCAGAATCACCACAACGAATGCTACACAGATTTTGTTTTGTGACTCATTTGAACAAACCGGTTTTCTCATTGGATCTGTTTTGCGTGTCTGTCTGCCCTTTTAACTAAAACAGCCAAATGTTGATCCTGCCTCCGTTCCAAGGAGAAGGTCACGGCGCTCAGCTTCTGGAGGCAGTGCACAGATTTTACTGCAGCCTGCCCAAAGTGCAAGACATCACAGGTGAGCGTCTGGTTATTTCTTTAACAGCAGTTACTGCGATTTAAGAGGGCGTGGAAGAACATTTCATCTCAGATCCGCATGTCTCCCACAAACAGTTGAAATGATTTGACTCAGCAGTTGGTGGATGCAGGGGTTACATTAATCTGAAAGGCTGGCATGTATACCAGAATGTGCAGAGGCTCTACTGAAGCTAGTTAGATGGAAAGAGTTTCTATGCATGGAGACGGAGGATGAATACTAAAGAGGCATCCTTTGAGGAATAGGAATCCTTTTCACAAAATGTCATTTAGCAGTTAAACAGACACACATTCCTGATAGAAGTGTGTTTGGCCTCAGCTAATATGTATTCATTACTTTCTAGTAAATAGCTTCTTGAAAAAGTTTTGAAATGAGTCAGTTTTTGCCCTTTTTTGTAGACCCAAAGAATCCTAACACTAATCCTCCAACACAAACATTTAAACAAGCTCGCATTGTTGTTTATTGAAAACTACTGTTTACCTTTTTTAATTGTGTGCTCTATGTGTGCGTTATCAGCTGAAGACCCCTCTGAGAGCTACGTGAAGCTGAGAGACTATGTGCTGGTGAAGCTTTGCCAAGGCCTGCCGTCCTTCACCGCGGACAAGCTGCCCCTCGGCTTCTCGGCGGACATGGCCAAAGAAGCGCAGGACAAGTTGAAAATTAACAAGGTGCTGTATGACACTACAGCCAGTGATAATGTCTTCTGTGTTCAATCAATACTTTGGTCTCTAAAATGTTAGACAGTAGTGAGGCAAAGCTTATCGCAAACTAGAACCCAAAGGTGACGCCTTCATGTTTCGTGTTCAGTTCAGAGAGCTATCTAAAACAGTAGTTATTATGCAACCAAGAAAAAGTTGTAAATGATCACATTTTAAGAAGTTTGAACATGGTTTAGTTTGGCATATTTGAAAACATTTCACTTCGCTATGTCATCCACCATGTTCTCCAAACATTGCAAAACAAAAAGTAAAAAACCTGGTTAGCAGCTTAGTCCTCAATCAATGCTTTCTATCTTCTTGTTTGGCTCAAAATGTGGCACACTTGTGCATAAAATGATAGAATAACAAAGGATTTGAATAAAGGATATTTGTCTCTCTTTCATACAGAAACATGCAAGGAGAGTGTATGAAATCCTGCGCCTGAGAGCCACAGACATGAGTGATGAAGACAAAGCAAGAGAGTACCGTTTGGAGGTGAAGAAGAGGCTATTTGGACCATACAGGGTGAGTGTTTTATCATCCGAGTGCTTTACATGCCACAGGGTCCAAAAGTGCATAAAGTGGCTCCCTTATTTGATCAGAAATAAATCAGAATGTCAACTCAGTTGCTGTCAATCAGAGGCACTCTACCTTTTTTAGAAAGCCATTTCCGCTGTTCAGGAAAGGAAGCAAAGTGGCCCATGTGTGGCATACAGTTGAGCGGCTTACAGCTCCGTATTGTCACAGTTTATTGTGTTACCTTTCAAAACAGCAAAAAGAAATGATCTTCAGTCCCGTTAAAATGGATATATTACTTGTGCTGTATTGTTACAGCCACAATAGGGCGCACCAGGCGTCTGTGATTTTGCTGCTGGAGCGTTTCTCTATTCAGGCACATGTCATTAGTCAGGATTTGCATTTCTTGGAGAGAGCGTTTCTTCATAAAAGTGTTTGAGCACTTTGTCACAAAGATGCTTCTATTCAGCGTTCTGTGCAATTTTCTAAAATGGTTTTTGTTGTTTTCTCCTGTTCTTTGAGCAAGTTTTCTTAGAGTATCAGAGATGCATTTAAACAGTCGTGAGCCTGATGAACAGAATAGCCTAAGCTTCTCTGATTCTGTTTTACCGGTGGGGATCGCTGAGTAGATCGGTGCTCAGCAACACATGATGCCCAACATCCTGTTTGCTTGTGACATGGTGTGTTTGAGCTGCTCACTGAGACTTTGCATACCAGCCATTAGAGCATTTTCTGTCAGCAGGGTAACCGCATGTCTTAGAAAAAAGAGGCAGGCTCTGACGTGGAAATGACCTATGTGGTAAAGCGGGAAGTAGGAATCCTTGGGAGAGTGGCAAGGAAAGATCTGGTGGCCAGATGCAGAGCCTTTTTCCTTCCCTGAGGAGATTTAGCATGTAGTTAGTTGAATGGCAGAAGGCGCTGTGAATGCGAGGGGGATTATGCATTTCTGCTCTTACCCCCAATTCCCCGGTGACCACGTCTGCATATATGTGCGTGCAGGATTTGAAAAGCAGCAGACTGCACTAAACTGAGGTTATTTGTACTTTCTCCGTCCATGTCAAGAACCTCTCAGCTTTCTGATTTCACCGCAAATGTTGATACACTGTCTAATAAGACATGCTTTATAGCAAACTGGAGCTGATGGATTTGTTTCTTAATAAATAAGTTACTAATGTATAAAAGATCAGTAGTGAGCCATTAAAGCAAAGTTAGCTTAGTGGACAAGTTGACCACATAAAGAGCTACTCTACAGTATTCAGGCTAAATCTATGAAAGGATAGCACTGTATACACTATCTGTCTTTTCAACACTTAATGTTTAGTATTATGATGATCCAGGTGATGGGATGTCATATTTTCCAATTCTATAAGCATGGCCATTTATTGCGATTTGTAACTATTGTGAATGATAACTACAAGAGTAGAGGATGCAGTGTACATCTCATTTCTGGCCTCTTATTGATATATTTATATTTAGTTGTTGCTTATAGGAACGTGGCACGTGAATGGAGATGAATAACAGGTTTATATGACTTTAACCTCCCCTGTGTTTGTGCTGTTGACGTCGTGCAGAAGAATCAGAGGGAGATGGCTAAGATGAAGAAGTGCCTGCGGCCGGAGGAGCTGTTGTCCCACGTGGATCAGATGGACACTCAGACGCAGCACGAGGAGCTGGAGAAAAGTTATCAGGTTGTTGTGGAAGACTACAGGAGGATCATTGAGAGGATTGCGACTCACGCATGATCAGACTCTGAGATGCTGCTGGCCTGGAGGCCGCCCCTCTCAGACAAACAGGGGGTCTGCCCTGTCTGTACAAAGCCCCCATCACCACAGACTTCAGCTGCAACCAAGAGGAAACTCTCTTGATGTGACAAAGTCACTGTTTTAATGAAAGAGTGTTAAAGATGTTTTGTGGCTGAGTCAGGGGTAGATTGCAGTGGAGACCTTTCTTTTTTCCACCTGGTGTTCATACAGTAGTGGAGAAAGCTGCAGCTGGAGGGTTGAGACTTCCTGTCTGTCCCATCAGTTTGATCACATTGTGTGAGATTAAGGGATATGTCATATTTCACAGGTTATAAGAGGTCTACAACCCTGCTTCTTCTCCATCATAGACATTTTTTAAGATCTTTTGTCAAAAACGATTCCAAATGTGTGTTTTGAAACACTTCATACTGAAAATAAAAATACTGTTTTGTATTTTGCTCAAATCCTGTTATTGCCATTGTATATTTTTTCATTTTGTTTAAATATGTATAAAAAAAAAATGTTTTGTTTGTTTTTAATTTGACATAAGAGACAGGTTAACACAAAGTTATCTATATTTATATATTAAAGCTAATACTCAGGATGTTGCATATTTAAGAGAACTCCACCACACAGTATTTCAGCCTCACAGTAGACTTGCAAGTTTAAGAGTACAGCCATGCTAGCATCTCTGAGGCAACATAAAGACATGAAGCCTGCCCACTTGCTCCCTTTGATATGCTATCATGTTTAGTGGAGCATGCTTATATCTTTCTCATTAGCACAAAACCCAAAGATTAGGCTAATGGGAATTTGAGTTGAATGTTTTGAAATAAACCATAGTGTGGACCGTATTGAACACATTGACTTGACGATGCTAGATGAAAGGTCGGGATCAAAGTTGTAATTGTTCATACTCTGGGAACCAAAACTTTACCAAATGACATGGAAATCCAACAAATGGTAAACATATTTTTGAAATGATAAACCACAATGATAACCTCATGAGAGGAAATGTCAGGATAATCCAGTTGTCTATCATTTGCACATCATAAGCCGCTGTTGGCAATGAAGATCTTGGATCTCAGACTCCCTCCAACTAACATAAAATGAAGTTATTTACATTTTTGATTGACTTGCAAAAGGATAAACTGAACATTAGCTGGAATTTTGTGAATGCATAATAAGAAATATACGACAGTTAAACAGTAAGTAGAGTACAAAAGTTACAGTATGTTGGTAAAATATCATGATTCCTCCTGAACGCATGAATGTCTACCAAATGTTACACCAATGGATAACATGACCTTTCAACCCAAAAGTGTCAAACTGTTGGTGGTACCCGAGAAAAACTCAGACGATCACCAAAGAGCCTTAAGCCTGGGCACCTTTGTTGCATGTCATTCTACTCTCCTCCCCCCCTCTTATTTCTCTACAGTGTCAAATAAATGCAACTCTACAGTACCTATGTGATGGTAGCATTAAATAAAGTCATTGTGCAGACATTTAAAAAAAATAAGACACACTTTGATTTGCTAATAGCACTACAGGAAAAGCCAGCAGAACACCCAACTCTGTATAATTAAAATGCCAGGGACCATGGATATTCGTATAACAAATCATAAAAATAAAACAAACAGTTGTTGGGACATTTAGGTCCGGACCAATGTTTGGTAGCTGTTATAGCAACAAACAAAACAATTATAAATATGAATGCAGCAGTGCTCGTCTGTAAAAAAATGGCGCCTACACTACCCACAATGCAGTTCGGCCGCCGATACCTGTTTGTTATGCTAGTCAGAGCTAATGTGGCCTCGAACTGAGATCTGGCGCGGGTCAGGTAAAATCACTTATTTTCTAACCAAAACATGTTTATTTCCTTTCTTCAAACGTAGTCTTTGCACTGATCTCCCTGGAGTCTCTGATGTTTTTTATACAACTTTTGTCAGGAGTAGTAGTTCTGTAAAAATAGTCTGGACTCACTATAACCTGTTACTGCCACTCGAAACAAACATGCCTGGCCCTTGTGTCTTTACTTTAGTACCCTGATTTAGTAAATTCATACCGGATTCTAGTAAAAATTGTTGTTTCCAACTCCAAGTTTTTCAGCAGTTTGTTCAAAATGGCGGTAACATACAGCATTTCATTAGCCTTGTAACATTTCTAGCATTACTTTTCTTGGTTTAGGGCAATTTTGTCTGAGGGGCGTATTAAGTATAGGCCTATGTACAGTTATATTGTCATGATGTCAATGTTCATACTTATCTCAGACTTTTGTAAAACTATTGAAATAGCCTAGTATATGAAAATGTTATTTCTATAAAGCACTAGCAGAATCTAATACAATTTAATTTAATTACTACTCTTTAAGCCTATCAACAGACCACACTGGGCACCTTACCTGTAAGTATTTCCCACTTATTATTTACATGAATTACATTTCAAGTTCCTAAAGCTACTGAGTATATTTCAACTATTGTAATATAAATAAGTGATGTTAAATGAATAAATTCTATTAGATTGTAATTGAAACTGAAAAGTGTATCACTTGAACGTCGCCTGAATGGGGTCTTGCATAGATATTCTTAAAGCAGTTGAAATATTCTTATTTCAAAACCCCCTGCTATATATATCAGCTGGCCTGATTAATGCATTTTCCAGTATGCGTTAAATGTATTTGAGCCGTTTTAGAGATGTAATTTTGTCCAGGCACCCTCTCACGGCTAATGCAACTTCTGATTGCCGCTGATGTTGAGTGTTACACTAATGAGTATTATGGTTTTCAATTGAAAACCTTTGTGCCACTGTATTGGCCCTGCTTGTGCAGATCACTGTGATGAATACTCATCATACTTTATGATACTTTAGCACATTGTCACTAAATGAAGGCTACTGAGTCAATTTTCAATTTTTTCTCCCTCTTCAAATGAAACAAGACAAAACCTTGGAACCCTTCACATCTCTAATTCATATTGATTGAATCCACTCGTGGCCACAAGGGGCCTCATCGCACTGTAGTTTTCTCTGCTTTTTCTGCTATGAGTGCACATTTCACATTGCACTGCACAAGCTCAGCCGACTGACCTGCTAGTGGGAAGTGGCATTATTGTTTAGTAGGCACATGTGCTGTCTCATTATTTCCACCAGCAGTAGACTACTGTTTAATAGAGCCATCGTCATGTTGCAATGCAGGATGATGATGCACTGTCTTCACATATCTGGTGCTGTGTTGAACAATCTAATGTGGATGTGGATTGTTTGGACGATCTGCAGGCCTCTGTGCACTTGTCAGAAGGATGTTAAATCCCTTTTGCTGCATCAGATCACACAGTAAAGTGTACTGATGCTTAATTATTCCCCCCACAGTTCACACACTAAGTGTATCTTGGGCCCTCATGTCTCATTGCACCTGTCTGCAAATACTGAAAAGTATAAACGAGATGGTTTGATTCAAAAGAAGAACTCATTTTGTGGGGAAATGCAGATTGGCTTTCGTGCAGAGATTTTTTCTGTTGAATGAATAATCCATTTGTCAAGAAACAATTAATTGTAATCTGCATCTGTTAATATATTTGGTTCTATTGCTTTGGGTAATTAATATAAAATAAATACAATTGTAAATATGTATAGTTCCAGCAACTCTAATGTGAATAATTGCCGCTTTTCTTTGTCATTACATCCAAATAATATTATTTCTGATAGAATGCACATCTGAATACAAAAAAAACGATGTTGGTCTACTTTCTTTCAATTTTTTTTTATGTTGTCCTTTATTTTTTAGTGCACACTGAGTATTATACGAAGATGTCAAAGCTTTCGCATCATCTGTTCTGATCATGATACTTCTAGTGTCTAAGATATCATGCAGTATATATTTTTTTCTAAAAAACAAAGCAACATCCAGGCTGAGAAGTGCCATATTCATTATGTCTACTCCAGCTCATTCCCCCTCTGTAGTCAATCAACCATTCAGGTGCAGTGGATTGAAATCCAAAGAAGGCAGTGCACTTTCTTCTGCAGTCGAGGCTATTACAGTGGATCCTGCAGTGGGCCCTCAGTCGCTGCGCTTTTGTAAAGCGGGACACAGTCTGTCTATTATATTGTGTCAGAGTGGAGATGTGGGAGGTTGATTTATGTCTAAAACTGTCATGGGTTTCAATCTACCCTTTCTCACTTTTATTATTTCCCAAGAAAAAAAAAGGGGCTGAACATCCATTAAGGCTTGCATTTCCTCGCTCTCCCCTATCATGTTTGATCATGCAAATAATTCCATGTAGATTCCATATGAAGCAGGCAGAGAGGCTTAATGCCATTATTGTGTGAAATGACAACAACAGTATCAAGACTTGAATATTTGGTTTCACCTGTTGGCGTTTCTGCTACTGTTACCTTATGGCGCCTCCACCTCTCTGCACTGAGACAGACTGAGGGAGTTTTGGACCGGAGCCCAGCTGTGTGAGCTCCCCGCTGAATATGATACCTGTGTGGACGAGCCCCAGCGTCTTAGCCCTCAGGTTCCCAGGAGAGACGGGCAGGAAAGTTGGAGTC